AATATTCAGGCTTTGCTCAAAGCAGAGGATTTAGCTCTAAGGGGCTAACAGTCACAGCTCATGACAATCTCTCCCTTGCCTGATAAAGTCTCATACAGAGAGTACATAGCAAACAGAGCACTGTTTCATGCTCTCTGGAACTCTCTAGGAAATGAAACCTAGGAATGACGGTGTCTTTTAGTATCCCAATTCGCAGCATTTTAGATCTTTCACAGTGCACCAAGGACACACTGGATTTGTGAGTTTATTTTTGAAGACCTTAGTGTCTTCTACACCACCAGGGGAAGTGAGGGAGGTGGAGGGAGTATAGTTTCCACAAGCATGTTATAAACTCATACTATAACAGCTCCTAGTGGCCTTAATGGATTTGGCTCTGAAGAAGCAGCAATGGAAATCTCAAAGGGTTAAGAGTCTAAGCCAGAATTCAAATGGGAAACAGAGAAAGAGTGATTAGCTAATCTTCACACATGAGATAAATAAAGACCTTCCTTATTCCTCCAAATTGTCTACCCCTTTGACCACAAATTCAGATGATCTTGGTAACTGAGATGATTTCAGTTATTTAATGTGGACATGCTTAAAAAGCTAACTTCTGGTTTGGAAATGCTCCAAATCCCAGAGACACTCTTCTATTTTAAGTGGAGGCTACCATTCGTTTCTCTAGAACTGCAAGTAATCAAATACATCTACTGAAGTCTAAGTTTTCATGTGTAACGAGTAAAAATTGGTTCAGTCTTCAAAACAATTGAGATGAAGCATTCCAATTTTATTCCAGAATCTTGGATACTATAACAGAAACAAGAATTGGTTGTGTCAGCACAGGATAGAACTAACCCGGAGAATACCTGAGAGAAATATTTAATGGGAAAAACAGCTTTGGATGATCTAATGCTAACCATAGTTAGAGGATTTGCAGGAAAGTAGCCTAATGGGTGGTTGCTTCCCAAGGATAAATTGAGTGAGTACAACTACCGCAGCTCCTGATTTTTGAAAAACAGTTTAGAATGTCAAGTTTATTCAAATGTTGCTCTATTTTAGCCAGGACATGTCAACAACTTCATTAATCAAAAACAAAAGAAGACAGAAAAAACAAGTAAAAAGACAAATTCCTTTTTAGATCCTATTCACAGTAAAGCCTATAATGCATATCTGAGAACTACAGATATCAAATGTTAAGGCAATATTAAGAAGCCAGTTATGTCTACCAAATAATTCATTCGCGATCATATTTCGCTTGCAAAAAGCAGATGTAAAATTAATCAAGGAAAGCAATTCCTTGACCTCTGTAGGCTTTTATCAACTCTTGCAGAGGAAATAAACTCCCAAAAGAGTGAGCAGAAGAATGTTAAATAAAGTTAATGGGCAAGCTGAGTAAAGGAAGAAGCATATTTCAAGTTTCTGTTTGAACCAAGAAACAAAAGCATAAATGCTGCATATGATGAACTGTCTCCTGCATGTTAAATAAACCTCTAGTAGGATGTGAAATTAAATGAAATTGTTAATTGCAGAGCAACTAAAGCCCATCCAGCATGGGGGTTTACAGCTTTACCCCCATTTTAGAACCCCTTTGCTCACCAATCCTAACAAAGCTGAATGACTAAAGGGTACATTACTGCTCTTGAGTACCCCCACAAAATATGACAATCTTGCGAATTTACTAAACATCTTAGCTTTAATCGCGAATTATTCATGTTCTGTTAACACTGATTCCCTAGAGCACCTGTGCAAAACACGCATAACATGACAAAACACACCTCTTTATTAGTTCTTTCCCTTCACCTGTACATACAGAAAGCTCATTTATATCTCTGAGCAGGTATGGGAAAATGATAATCAAAAAGATAACTGAACAACAGACTGGCTTCACTAGGAATGGATTTGAGATCACAATTAAAACAAAGTACTGTAGCACAGAACAACCTAATCAAAAAAAAACAAACAAAAAACCCCCCACCTTCTAGAGTCTTTATGCTACCTCCATATAGAACTTCTATACTGTTTTTGAGCGTCATCTTCCTCTTTTTAAAGCAGGTTATACTTCAGTTAGCGTGCTCTGTTGCTATTTTCTGCATCTTTCAAGAGATCTTTGTAGCAGCAATTTTGCCATAATAAACATGAATTTCAAACACTTCATTTCGCAGCAGTCTTGTAGTTTTTACACTAGCGCATCCAGATATGTGTATTTTGAGGTAGTCTTGGTCTTAAGAGACCTCCTGTGATGCTCAGAACTGAAGTTAAAAAAATAAATATATTAAAAAGATGATAGCTGTCATTTTGAGTCCTGATTCTGCAAACTATTCTGCATTCATAGAGCACTAATTCTCATGCAGTTTTAATCTTTGTATAAGAAAAGTCTAATTTTGGTGCCAAATTGTAAAAAAAGGTGAAATTAATGTGCAGTTTACCATTTTCTCTTCAACATACTAAAACACCTAAGGAAATCAATGTATTAAACACTGGTATGGAAGAGAATATAATGAATTTAAATATCATAGGATTAAGAAAAGATGTATAGTCATGATATAAACATCAAAATATTGATCTAAGTAAGTTAAAAGAAACAACTTTCCCTATATCAAGCAGCATAGTAAAGCTGCGGAGCTATCCTGGCTGTACAATTACTGTAAAATAAGCTGGAGAAATTCAGCAACTGAGTAGAATGCAATGATTTTTTCAAAGCATTACACAGAAAAATAAAATACCTATGGTATAAAATGCTTCTGATTCTGAATTCTAAAGCTGAATTTAGCTGTAGTTTAACAAATGAAACTGTTGCCTTTCATGCAAGCTCATAGAATAATTGAGATGGTTAAAAAAAAATCCTGCAACATTCCAAACGATACTCATTTCAGATAACCTGCCCCTACTTCTATTTTACTCTAAAGATATTCTTGCAGTAGAGGAAAAAAAGAGTAGATGGTAAGAATGGCCAAGAAAACACAGCTTTATTCTTCCTTTCCACAGTTTATGCTTTTCTTTTTCACTCAGTAAAGAGAAATGCCTCCTGCTAGCTTGATTGGAGGGTATGAAACACTGCTCTCGGGAAGCGTCTACAAATGAAACAGAACAACAATAACAACAAAACGACTAACCAAAGACTCACTAGGTGATACAGATAAAAGGTTTTATTGCTGTTTTTTTATTTGTTTTGATTGAAGCATTTGAGAAAACTGTGTGGCAAAGTAATGTACTATATTTTATTTGAAAAACTAAAAACTTTTTGAATAAAATCAATTCTAGGAAAGCAAATCCTTCTAGCTTAGACAATAGAAACAAGAGGTTGGATTTGCTTGATGAAACTTTTTTTTATACATCTGGTACTGACATTACTATATGCTATGACATGATCTGTATGTCCTGCAGCTGATTTTGGAAAGAATTGTCGTCAATTAAAATAAATTTCTCAGTAAAACCACTGTGAGTTTAAAAAAAAAAAAAAAGGCATGTGCCTCTCCAAGGTTACATGTTTTCTGTTAAGTGTGAGACTCAGGGCATGCCACCACTCCATAGTCAGCTAAAACACTCTTCGTGCCATGCGCATGTCTGCCCCTTTCTTTGAACAACTCAGAGTTGAGGTTTACATATCTGACTGCTTGGGATGCTGCCTAAGATCCCAGGCACAATCCATTTCATCTGATTCAAGACACCACCCTTCATTTGCTGATCTGCTGGATTAGCATCATTTGGTACAAAATAAGAGCACTCTGACAGTTACTTGGCTTCAGGTAACAGGTGGTAGCTAACTCATAAAGCCATAGCAGCTGGAGCTTCTGGTTGCTTTAAGTGGTCAACAGAATGGAAATGGTAAAAGAGGTCACAGGAGGAGCTGTATGATGTACCGCAGGTTAAGAGCCTGAATGACAAAGACAACGGTGAATGAGGTGATACAAGCAAGAGTCATAAAGAAAATACCGGGAAAGGAATTATTTAGGCTAGAAGCTGGCAAGCAAATAGATGTGAATTGGCTATAGCCCTAATTAGATTGGAAATTATAAAGGAAGTTATGAAAGGATCTTCTAGCAGGTGTAAGGGAATAAAATACTTTTTTAATTTTAATATGAAGTGATCATTTTATCAGCAAGATTATAAAATACGGCTGCTTTATGCAGCAGCATGTCCCTTTCAGTTGCATGCTTTGAGTGGAATAGAAAAGGGACATGTTGTCTTGTCTTGAACAGATTTTTTTTGGTATCATTTCTACACACATATACAGAGGAGTTGGCTATTACTGGGCTATGCGTAAAAATCAAATTAGTGTAGACTGTAGAGAGGTTGACTTGCCTGGAGTTAAAATTGGTCTAGGGAGCGCTCAGTTTTGAGCAGACTATAGATTCTCTGGTAGCCAAGAACTCTTTTGTGCCTTCCTCCATATTACCCTCCTGCAAGGGAATAATTCTCCCCCAGAAGCTTGGTGGATAAGAGCTTTTTCCCTTCCTAATATTATGCAGCAGAATTGCCAAACCTGTGGAAGTCTTCTAAATGCCCCTTCAAACACAGGAATCAAACCCTTCTCGCATTGCGGATTATCTATTCCTTCTCTTCCAGATGTCTAGGTTTCCGTACTTCATTACTGTCTTTCTTTTTTCCCCACTCAAACTTTTTGTTGGCCATACCTTATTGACAGCATTTATTTTCTTCTCACTTCCACCACTCCCCAAGTACTCTTTTTCCATCTCTGCCGCAAAGTACTTCTCTCTCTCTCTTTCCATGCAAGTCTCCCCAACTCCTTCCATTACCAGTTTCATTTTTCTTCCCTTCCTGAAAAACAAATGTGGCCTTGTCTTTTATTTTTTTGTCCAAATAACTACCTTCTGTTTGCTATTATACTCCTGCCTCTCATGAGGAATGTTCTGTGAAGGTTTGCACCTTTCCTTCCCATGATATGGATTTTGCGCTCTCAGTCATGCAACAGCTTTCCTCCTCCTGAAGCGCCAAGTTTTTCCATTACACTTTTTTCATCATTTATTCTATTTCCACGCTCAGATTTTCCCAGTCTGTCAATGTATTTCTCCTTTTCAGACTTCACTGAATTTGTCCCATTTGACTCCTCCTCAATTCTGCAATCTAATCACTCACCAATTTGTCAGCAGGCTGTACCAATGTTTATTTGCTGCAAAAATATTTAACACACTAAGGATACTGTCGTGACTAATTACTATAATGCACTCATGCATCACATAAGCACAAATCACTCAAATATCTCAAGAAATTTTAATTTTTAAGAATCTTGCAATTCATTTAAAAAAGACTTTAAAAATCAGTAACTCCAATGAGAAAAGCTCTTAAAACGGCAGTTTAGTTCGTTCAGATTACAGTTCTATCAGAATTAAAAATTGTGCATCTACATCTATACCCAAGATAAATAAACATTATTTAAAAAAATTAAAAATCAAAAACTGAGTTACATCTAGTCCGTTTTACACAATTTAATAAGAGTATTTCCCACAATGTTACATAGAAGAAACTATTTTAAATAACATCAATACAAACTAAGAAAAGTCAGAAAACCTAAATTTAGAAAGATGTACTCTTTCTCTCACATAATAGAAGACAAAATACATATGATTCATCCACCAACTATGTTATCGTAACTGTATGAAAAAGCTTAAATAAAAATGTTTAAATGAGGTGCTAGAAGTCAGGCATCTAAATCCATGTGTAGGCACTGAAATAGCTGGTTTAATTTTCAGAATTGCAAACACTTTCAGTTTCCACAGAGTTTAAGGTGACCAACACCTACAAAAGTCCCACTAACACTTATGTACATGATTAACTTAATTCATCTGAGCAGGCTCATTAAATTAAAAGGGACAATTTATATACATAAAATCACACGACTAATGTTTACAGGATTACAACATATGCTGATATATGTATTTAGTTGTCTAATTTAAAACTCAAAATTTAAAACTTTTGATCATAATATTAAAAATCTGAATTGTTTATATAATTATGCATTCAGGGTGTATGCTGTGGTCTTTAAAAACATAGGCTGTAAGGAACTCTCACTAGTTTTTAAAATAGAGTAATTAGTACATTTTTTCAAAGTGGCAACCAGAGTCCCCATTTGATCAATTGTATTATATGAAAAAGTGAGGTATATGAGAAATCATCTAGAAGCAGTTCTTTTCCCTATGGACCATACTAGTCCTAGAGTTTTAAAGCAGAAATCCTGTTAGCAACAATGGAGAGTTATGCTAAGAAACAGATGACATAGATAACTCCGCAATTTTAAAAGTTTATGTAACTTTGTAAGTGCCTAATAAGGCAACATATTCTTTTATATCTCAAATTTTAATCAGGGATAAATACCTACATTTGAATCAACTCCTCTAAATATTTTACTAAAATCGGGATACTGGCATACTCTTTTAAGTATATCAAATATCAGTGCCATCACAACACCATTAATATTGATTAGTTAAACATCTTTCCAGTTGCTAAATGAAAACACACTTTTCAACACAAGGAGTTTTAATTATTCATCCATTACTCCTGATCAGATCAGTATCACATTCTATGTCTGTACTATGCATTGGTTCTAATAAATTACAACAGCAAAATAATTCGGTTGCGCCTTCAGTAAAAAGGAAAAGGGCACAATCCTACAGACTCTTTTCAAGTGTCTAATCTTATAAATGCTGATAGTCATATTAGTATATTTAAAATAAAGCATGTGACAAAATGTTTAGACAATCAGGGTTCAAATCACTATAATAGTTACTATTGATATAACGTCTGCAACAGTCAGAGAGCTATAGCTCTAAAATTGCAACATAGGAACACAGCATCAACTAGCCAGGTAATGATGTCTGTAAAACTGAATTCATCTCAGGTCTACCAGCCACTTCTGTGGTAAGATGAAAATATATACCCACTTTGTTTTGGGGGAGAAAAAGACAAGGTAAAGCTACTGATTTTTACCATCTTCTTCATCACCGCTGAACGATCACTGCTGAATTAGAGATTTTTCTGGTTCACACTACATGTAATGAATTGCTCTTTTAAAAGACCAGATCTTTTTAAAATGTAAAACTTGGCAAAAGATTGATCTGCTGTTTGTTGCGTCTACTCAGATGTTTTCAACTAGCAGCAATCCTCCTTGTTTTTATTGTAAAGGTCTCAAATATCCTGCTATTCCATCTTTTAAAAAATAAAAACAAAAACAAAACGTTAAGGCTGTTTCATATCTGTGTCAGCTTGATTTACTGATACCAAATGGAACAATTGTTTTGAGGACCTTTAAGGGGAACAAACAGTCTTCTCAATATTTCGGAAGAAGTCAGCGATTGTAACCACTGGAATCATTAGTCTCCAACATCTCCATCTCTGTCACCTATGAGCCACAGGAAATGAAAACCCATGGCTAGCAAGGCAGTTCCAAGCAAATCTCCCAATGCGGTAAGATAGGGGATAGAAAAACTGTCAGGATCTTTTCCTTTTTTCCAGAAGTGGTGTACCATCCAGTCAGCAATCCATAATAGAGTAAACACCTACGAACGTCAAACAAACAAAATCTGTATTATTATCACTTAAATTTTATTGAAAGAAAGTCAACAGCCAACATTATTATTTCCACGGTACTTAGCCCTATTGTACACAACCACTTTTGAAAAATATGAATAATTAATCTGAATTAATTTCTGAATCTGAATTTCTGAAAACTCCCCACAACCAGAAACAGGGACACTTAGCCAACTTCTCTCAATCATTTACACAAACAGAATGAACAAATTAAATCACTGACGGTATTTTTTCAGCCTCATGCTTGAAAAAAATCTGACAATGGCAAGAAAAACACAAATCCCAAACAAACGTGTGACTGCACTTCTCACACCAGAAAAACGTTCTGTGTAGTGAGAGAGCACAAATGAGGTTTCAAGATCGTTCAGAACTGACTGATGTTACCCCAGATGAAAGCGCTCAAAATAGGCTTAGCTTGTTACCACAGACCTAGATCTGAGCTGTAATCACACATGATATAAAGAATATGGGGTCAGATTAAGAACAGTTTCATCTAGATAGCATGAGCCACTACAAATGGCTTAGAAGCTACTTTCATGCATGAAATACCAACTTCAGCTCTACTGTAATAAGGCACACCTGCAGTATATATTATGAAAGTGTCACTCCAGGCTGAATATGACCCAAAGGAAAAGATTTCATTCCCAACTGTGAATGTCTGAACATCTGAGAGGTTTGATCTTAATACCCAAGGTATGTGTAAATCATCAACCCAATTTTAGAAAAGAATTCTTTTAATGTTCCCCAGCTGTATAATAAAAGGTTCTGGTTCAGCGGAATCATGTGGTGTAGCATGGCACGAGATGAGTGGAGAAAAACACTACTAACTGAATTTGTGTTTCTTCTTTCCTCTTTTAAGGGGCTGCCTAAGCTGAAATACACATTATACGGTATGCATTTTTTATTTAATCAGGTCTTCAGGAAGGGTAAGCTTAAGACAGTTATTACCATATTCATTTTTTAAAAAGTCTGTTATGCACATGTAAAAGAGCATGCAATAACAAAAGTGGTAAAAGGTACAAAATGTGTATTTTATTTAATAAACTACCAATCATTAGTATCAAAAACACCTTTATAAATGTGTCTACTCATTTACTGAAACACTGATGTGATGTGATGTGGCTGACACTTCACCACAATACAAAATTCAGTACAATTAATGTTATATTAAAAATGTATCGAAAAAATTATTCTCAATTAAACTTTGCTTTACCAAAGCATATTTTCAAATACAAACATGGATTTCTAATTATAAAAAAAAAGGAGAGTATTTGCTTAATGAAAAATGCACGACTTATTTATATAAACATATCTTCTGAAAAGGGAACTCTGTAGTCTAAGCTAATTATGCAAGTCCTAGGTGTGCTGACTGGAATCCAAACAAATATATTTAAAACAGATGTTTTCCTTGGAAGACTATCAGATTCTTTGACTTGGCTCTTTCTTCTAACACAGACAGAAGGAGGTCTGTTTATAAAAGATACTGTACATTAACATCACTTACAGGACGTACAGAGAAAACTCTATAGTCCCCATATTCAACAATAGTTACGCGTGTGCTATTAGAGGATGAGAGCACTCATTCCAAGAATAAGTTACATTTATATGAGACACACAACTCATTAAACATAACATATACAGTACAATTTAAATGCTGGTATATGCCTTTATCTTTAAAATTCATGACACAAAAACTTTTAATTCGTCTATATATTTTCCATTCTAAAATAACTGGCTTAGACTATAGTGAAAAACAGGTAGTTTGGAAATGAATTTTTGTGAACTTTTCAAAATAATTATTGTTGCCATATTAGCTTACGGGTGCATAACACAATGCAAATTATAACAAACCATGTTTCTGTAAGTAAGGAAAAGAATAACTATAGTATATTATATTAACTGAAGGCCTTAACAGTATATGATGCCAGCAGGGACACAGTGATTACGTGATAAATTACGAAATTCTAGTTCATCAGCCTTTATTTTGGGGAAGGAATAATGCTATTGTTGTACATTTGCATGGTTAGAGACTCACTAACAATTTAAGAATGACACAGATCAGTCTTTGGAAATGTTTGGTTACTTTCTTTGGCCACAGTAGCTGATGTTGGCAAGGAAGAAGTCTACCAATGAGACTTAAATCTGTAATGAGAATTTGCTTCTTATCAATGTTAAGAGGGAGAGATCACAACTGTCAATCAATTGTTATTTTTGACAACAATACTAAAACTCCTACCATGAATTTGCTGGCTTTTTGAAAGTAAGACAGTACTTGAATTTAAAGCGGTAAGGAACACACACAGATCTGACAGAGGCAAAAAAAAGGCAGGCAGATGTACTCACGAAGGCTAAAGGAGAGCAAAGACTGAGAAAAATGGAAGGTTTCTGAGGCACAGGGAGGAAATTGTATATGAGATTTTATATGCATTATGAGACTTGTCACAACAGTAGTTTTGTGCTACACTGCTTTACGTTCACGGGCATTTATCAGTAGCCTATACTTTGTTAAGCGAAATCATGCAGATGGCATGATAGTGCAAATGCAGCATATTTCTGTTCTGCATTTATTCTACGAAGAACAAAGCCCAAGCATACTTCAAATTGAAAACCAGCTGTTTTTGCGGGGGAAAAAAAACTATGGGCTCAACACTACAAAAAATGAGACAATACAAAAATGATCTGGTTAACATGAAATGCTGTACACAAGTGATAAGAAAAGCATGAAAATACATGAAGAACTGTTGTTCAAGACGTGAGCTAGTATTTTACAATTATTTAAAATACAGAGGAAGAGATCAATGAAGTGTCTTTTGCAAAAAAAGAGAGGACTAGTGGTAGAAATATGAAACGGGAGGTTTTTGGAGGTAAAAAATAATTAAATAGCCACATACATAAAAGGTTTGACTAAGAAAAGGGAAATGCTCTATATTCACTGATCAAGGGGGAAAAAAAAAGAACAGAGCAAGCATTGCAAAAATACAGACAAAATTCCAGACATTCTAGTACTTTAAAAGAGAGGTCATACTGACTTACTCTCTTTAGTCTTTTGGAATAAATTACCACTAAAATTGAGGAAAATGAAGCTACAAACATCATCAGTATTAGACTAACAAGATATAGAATAAGTATCCCAATAATGCTTGATATTTTCTATTTATAAAATGTGATGCATTTGCAAAAAGACATACTAGTCACATTGCCAAAAGAAGTCCACAGAAGAGAGAAAAATAGAGACACTACATAATGAATATAGCAATAACAACGAGAGAAAGGGGGGAAGAGCAAGAGCGCGAGTAGCCTTTATCAGACTAATGACGAGGAAGCTGAAAATAAGGAGTATAAATATACATATCACATCGCACAACAAAGGACAGATACAAAGAAAGAGTAATTCTAGCGATTGAAGTTTCTGATTCAAGTTAATATCACACTGAAACTGAAATTGAAGACCAATGCTTAAATAAAATGAGTCTCAATATTTAAAGCTGAAATCTTCTGATTGCAAAACTAGAAACATGGGAACATTACACAAGGCAAAATAGTTATTTTCCTTTGCTATGGGGCACAAAAATTGCTTTTGTTCTTTGCAGGTCATTAGATAAAATTAACAAGTTTAGCTCTAGAAGTTATTTTTGGTCTTTTGCATGCAGTGAAGACCTCTAAAAGCTGTCTGCACACTCTCATATAACTAATTACTCATGGCTTCAGAAATGGGAAAAGAATGAAACTCTAATTTTAAATAAAAATATGTAACTCCTTCCAAACATTTTAACATAGTCTAAACGATACAGGCTGATATGTTGCAGCATGCTATAATATTTTTACTGTTTCTTTCATCTAGGACTACCATATTTCATCAGTGACTATATGTCAAACTCACAGTGATAAGACGTATAAAGTTCAAATGAATAATCTTTGTTAATGAGGTTTGAATCTTTCATGTTTATATTAGTTTATATATAGTTTCTGTGATTAGTGAATTCTATTACCAAGTTGGAAAGAGCAAGTTTGGGTTATACAGTTTGTACATACTTCTTCACGCTGATAATCAGACATTATCAAAATTCAACTGTATTTTTGGTATGTGGAGCCAAGACATTTTAGCCGTTTATTTAGCATGCCTTAGATGGACAGGATTTCCTGCACCTTACTAGTACTACTGTTTCTTCTTCAACAGTTTCCATGTGAAGTTGCATTATGAAATAGTTTCATTCTACTACTTTAGCCTGGAAGCAAAGATGCAAATAAACTGTGATAGCCTGCTTTCAATGTATCTTAATTCTGCCTTACTCTCAACCCTATATCGACTCAAGAGTTCACCTACAACATAACCATGACAAGCTCTGGCAATTATTGTATAACAGCTGTTACAAATAGATGAAATTTAGAGATAAGTTTATACTATTTTTTTTAAAATTATTCATGTATGAAACTCTCAATTAAGGATCTCTAAAGATTACTGTGCCCTGACTGAAATTCTCATCAGATTTATGGTTAAGGTCTTAAAGTGGCTTTGACCGGAATTAAGTTAATTTTTCAAATTATACATTGGATTGCTCAGATTTTAAATTGCTTTTGATGTCTTCATGTGAAACTGAGTATTATCTTTAAAGCACTCATAATAGATGTGCACTGAACTTGCTGAATTCCCATGGTCTCCAACCAGAATTCTGTAGTCAGAGAACTCAGAGAGTAGGTGCTACAGGTTTAGGCACTGAAACTGCTGCAGAGCTTAACATCTGTGCTCTTCATATTACCTGACACTTGGGCTGTTTTACTATATTTTTCAATACAGTGCTCTCTGCTGCTTTCTCAGGTAGCACCTCTGGTGTGCACCATGCCCGGGGGAACAAGTCACTAGCTCCCCCAAACATGCAGAGATTTCCTTCAATGTCTGGCTGTAGAGAAACCAGAGCTTTTACTTGCTACTGTCATTCATGTTTTAGTTATCTTGTGATTAGTAAACATC